ATGATAGTGCAGACTATTAGGCTTTTTTTTTAGTTTAAGCTGCTTTTTTTTTTCCATTGCAATTATAGTGATTTCTAACTTCTGTAATACTTTTTTTTTTTGCTAAACATCTTCTTTCTTTAGGTGGACTATATCTCAATATGCTAATGGCTATATATATCATATTTACTAAATGCTCCAACTTTGAATTTTTTTTGTATTTTTGTATTATTTTATAATTCTTTTACTTAGATTTTTTGTTTTTTGTGAGGCTTACGTCTCAATTCGCCTCGAGACTTACTCTTCGCCTCATAAAGAAAAACCGTATCAGTATTTAGTTTCGCATTTTTAAACCTTGTATATATATATGTGTGTGTTGAATAGCTTAAAGATTTGTTGACTTGTCAGCATGTTATTATAATAAGAATACAACGTTAAAATTCCATTTTGTTTGCTTTCACCAATCATGGTTGAATTTATTGAGTGAAAATTTGCTTTACTTTATTGAACCAGCAATTGTTTCATGATTTTTATTTTCTCAACTCACAGGAGCACTGATGGTGATAACTCTGAAAATCATTTCATGTGTCATTAATTATAATGATGGATTACTGAAAGAGGAAGATCTACGGGAGGCGCAAAAGAAAAACCGCTTGCTCAAGTTGCCATCACTAATTGAGTATTTAGGTTATTGTCTCTGTTGTGGAAGTCACTTTGCTGGTCCAGTGTATGAAATGAAAGATTATCTTGAATGGACTGAGAGGAAAGGGGTATGTTATTTATGTTCTTGTATTATGCTTCTGCCTTGTTTTTTTCGTTTCCATCAAGTAGAGGCTGCTCGAATATTATTTTCTGCAGAATTGGAAACCTACAGAAGAGGGTTCACCCCCCTCTCCCTATTGGCCAACTTTCAGGGCTGTTCTCCAAGCTGCTTTCTGTATGGGCTTGTATCTGTACCTTGTACCACACTATCCACTTTCCCGGTTTACAGAACCAGTGTATCAAGAGTGGGGGTTCTGGAAACGTCTGAGTTACCAGTATATGTCTGGCTTTACTGCTCGTTGGAAATATTATTTCATCTGGTCAATCTCAGAAGCTTCTATTATTATTTCTGGCCTGGGATTCAGTGGCTGGACAGATTCTAATCCACCCAAACCACGATGGGACCGTGCAAAGAATGTTGATATATTAGGTGTTGAGCTGGCCAAGAGTTCCGTTCAGTTACCACTTGTATGGAATATTCAAGTCAGCACCTGGCTTAGACACTGTGAGTTTACGTTTCCTCTAGAATTTCGTGTTCTTTTGACTAACTGTGTTTGTAAAGGTAACCTGTAAGCTCATCGGCGACGGACATATTTTATCTATGCGAATCAAATGCTATGCTAGAAATTGTACAGCACCAGAATAGATAGAGCTTTCTGCAGAAAGAACCTGCTTATAGGAAAAATAGAAATAGTCATACCTAAATATCTTAAGAAATGATCTATGGTAGATGTTGTATTAGAATATTAATACACTTGTTCACTTCCATGTACACACGTGCCTATATTTATGTAATTTATCTTTTACGCTGTAGTGTATTATTTAAATTTGGATACACGCAGATCTACATTTGTTCTTCAAACCCTGCTGATAAAGAAATCTGGATCAAACACATAAAAATTGCTCAAATACATCAACCTGCACTTGAAATAATACACTACAAAGAAATATACTTGTGAGTTGCTGTGGAGTTAACAATGACTTATCTCCTCAATCTCTAAAAATGCATAATGGTGGACCCAAAAATATCAACAACAATAATCTTTTTAACAGACATCTTTTGATTAAGGACCCCACAAGCTAGAGTTTTATTGTTCTGGTGTAACTCTCCTAGCTCGTCCCCTTTCTGCTTGCCTTTTATTCATGAAAAGAAAATGCACACTTGAGATGCCTAATTGTTACGACGGTTTCTTAGTAAATGTTGTAAATAGTTGTGTGATGTCCAATTGTAGGCTTTCAAAACTCTATGCAACTAGTGGGGGTTCTAGCATCCCTTAATGATAGGAATGTTACTTGTCTAGGAGTTACCTAATCTGTACTGGTGAATCACAATTGATTATTTATATTATGAATTCTATTTCTTATCTAATTAATCTCATTTCATTTAGATGTCTATGAGAGGCTCATTCAGAAGGGTAAGAAACCAGGGTTCTTCCAGTTGCTGGCTACCCAAACCGTCAGTGCAGTTTGGCATGTAAGTATAAATTCTAGCCTTCTGTCCTGAAAGCTAAACAATGCTGTACTTTGACAATATATTAAATGTGTTTTTTTCTATGTACTATTTTTGTTAATTCTAGTTGGCACGTAATTCTTCTGGAAGTCAGTCAACAATTAAATTATTTTCATAATAATATCTTTTTTTTTTTTTTTGAGAATTAAAAATTCTAAAATTTTTTTTGACATAGTATTAAAAATTAAAGCAGAAAGATAAATTAGCATTCATTGATTTGCTATGCGAAGCTCTCTTTCACACCCTGCCGTTGTTTATCCTTGATATTAGCCCATTCATTTGCAGTCTTTCTGTTTCAGCGTTCAAAACTTCTTGGTTATTTCACATTATGCTTGTAATCTTTCTATTCGTAATCACCATTTTGACTGAATTATCTGAGATTAAAGAAGGTAATATATTATACTCTTTCACATTCATGCCTTTAAGCATGCCGATCTCTATGTTACTCCTTTTCTAGTTATATCATGCCTCATATTTCATGTAAATATATTTGTCATTGGATTACAAGTGTATATTTGAGAGCATATGCACAGGGACACACTTGAGTACTTACCTATTTTTGTTGCCTAAATTGCACCTGTCTTTTCAACAGCATTTTTCCTTTTCCTTGCTGATTTCTACAGCTATTCCAATCCAAATTAACCGTCTAATCGCTGAATCAAATTATTTTGTAACATCACAGGGATTGTATCCTGGCTACATCATATTCTTCGTTCAGTCTGCTGTAATGATTGCTGGTTCAAGAGGTAACAATTACAAATACATTTAATGAGATGGTTAATCATAATTGCCTGCCTTCTTATTTGTTTTGGTCTATGAACAGTTCTTTACAGATGGCAACAAGCCACCCAATCAAATCTATTTAAGAAGATATTCGTATTCTTGAACTTTGCTTACACGCTTTTGGTTCTTAACTACTCCTGCGTGGGTTTCATGGTTAGTCCTGTTGTTTACATTCATTTATTCTCGTTTGCATTAGATTCTCATCTCCACTGTTAAGCTGAAAATTCATAATGCTATTCTGCACATAGGTATTAAGCCTCCATGAAACCCTAGCTGCATATGGGAGTGTATACTATGTTGGAACCATTATTCCAATAGCATTGATTCTGCTCGGCAAAATCATTAAGCCAGCTAGGCCCTCCAGAGCTAAAGCTCGGAAAGATCAGTAAGGTAGAAATTACACCTTTGATATTTATTTTTGAGAGCTGGATTGCCATTCTTAATATGTCGAAGTGCTGATTGCTGCTACATTTCTTCGTTTCTTTGTAGTTTGTAAAATTTAATTCGGCAACAAAATTGTTTTATTTCCCTTCCATCTTTGAATGTAATATGAACTTCGACTTTGTTCAATTTTACCGAGTCGAAAAACTAGACAACTGTTAGTGTAACCATATGATTATCTGGATGCACTGTCAAGAATAGGGTTATCTTATGTTGATTCTGTTAAAAAGCAGAATCAGACTGTTTTAACCATTAGAGATTGAGAATAACTGTTATCTTCTTCTTCTTCAAGTTCGGAGTTCTTAAAGAATGCTGTGTTAATAGTATTGTCCAGTCGAGCCTACCAATCGTGTGGTAAGCTTGGTATCTGATGTGGAACCACAGGGAGAAAACAGAAGAGTCTGGAAGTGTTTATCACAATTGGTATAAGAATTTAGACAGAATATTCAATATTAATGAAATGTAAATGATCAATTACTTGCATTATTGCAGCAAAATAAATCTTTATTATACTTTAATTTCATAGTAAAAAACTAAAACATAAAATTTCACGACTTTAACGGGATGTACCTAGTCTGGTTCTTATTATCGTGTAAATTTCATTCCTAAATAAATAAAATAAACTCCTTTAAAACTCTGCTCTATGTAAAAATGTCCTTCGAACAACATTATCCCTTTGGATAAGTTAAGAGGTAGTTCATATATGGGTAAGGCATGTATGGATTCTCAAAAAGACGGGAACCATGGTGGTCCTCCTTGGACCTCTCGGATAATATGAGTGAATCTGGATCTATATTAGATCTCACTATAATCACTCCATCTATACACGAGGTGTGATTTCGAATCCTGGTTCGAACATAAGGAGTATGTCATATTAATGTTCATTTGACGACCCACATCTTCGAATAAGAGACCGATCACCGATGAGCACATTAAACTATCCAAGTGGTTGAGAATTCTTACCATCGAGGCCTGGTGATGTAAGTATGTATGAAATTGATTTCCTGCCTCCAGTAGATAGGATAAAAACTTTCCACTGTTGATGTGGCATCAACATAACCTCAATGTAGACAAGAGATCAGGGCTGTAATTATGTATTAGCAAGGGGCCAAAATGAAAGTACAGTAGCCATAAGTATATGAAACCCTACCAAGAAAGAAAAGTGTGTATAAATGAATGAATGGATGATGTTGTTTGTCTTGATGAAGGCAGCTGTATAGCTGTCTTTGCAGCCAAGCCAGAAGGGTATCTATGGACCACTCCTACGTTTGTTTGCTGACTTACACTACTCAATCCATGTGCCTCAAGGCCTGGGACTCCTATTATTGTGTAGTTTTCTCCAAGAATGATCCATTGATGAACTGGCCTCAAACCCCACCTATCTTGATGATTTACTAAACATATTTCATCATGAAAAAGTTGGGGCACTTGTTCGCGCCAAATGAGCTTCTTTGAAACGTTTCGGATGAAAACAAGATATGGGTTGTTATCCAAAGACAAGTTTTTTTGCATTCCATTGATAAATTTGCATTGATCCCACCTATCTTGATTATTTACGTCCCAACTTGTATCATTATGGAAAAGTTGGGTCACGATAGTTGGGGCAATTGTGCATTTTTGAACATGCTGGAGTGAAAACGATAAACGGGTTATTATTCAACGACAAGATTTATGTGACTACGAGTTTTTCCTTGAGTGCTTTCGAGAAGTGGCTTCAACCCTACCCATCTTGATGATTTACCACTCAAAAGGATACGTATGACGTGTCCTTCACTATTTAACACACATCATCATGAAAAAGTTAGGGCATGATTATCGTGCCAATGATCTTAGTTAAAAATGTTAATAAGAGCTAAAGCGAGAAACATATTGTTATGTTCACATAATCCTATCTACCACGACAATTGAAGCGAAAAAGGAAACCAAAAATTCCATCATTATCGGGGGGAAAAAAAAAAATTCTCCTACAACCCTTTGATGATTAGGCATGAGATGATGATCCAAAATAACTTAATAGGGCAATTAATGTTGTTCATTTGAATAATTGAATAGGTTCAAGTGATAGAGCATCCAAGAAAGACATCAATTCAAAAGGGGAGACACATGCATTTGTATATTTGTACAAAAGATGGCTACTAAACAAAGCAGTTCACTTGGGATGTTTGCTTGGAGGGAGTTGACATCAATGTCTCTCTGGCAATTTGAACTGACCAGTAACTAACTTATAATTTGCCCAGCTTATGACTGGAAGCATTCTGGCAAGCCTGCCTTCTTTCAGAGAAGCCCATTACTTTCAATCGACCTCTTTTGTCCGAATCGAAACTCTCTTATGACACGTTAGTATATAAGATTAGACAAGATTGGACTGTACTATGAATAATATTTTGTCTTACTTTTTTGTTTTTAATACTATACACTTAACCTTATTAGACAAGAAATTATACCAGGAAGATAGTATTCACAAGTTTTTCAACGGAATGCTACTTTACATTTTGTCTTCTTGGATTGTAGTTCAAAAATTACATTTCAAAAAAGACTTCGAGATTGACTTGAACTGGGCACTTTTAATTATTATCACCTAACTGGGCATGGGATTCTAGTAACTTTTTTTTTTCTTCTTTGAACCTTTTTTGGGTGGGTTTTTACTTGTCTTGTTGCCTTTAAAATTATTCCCCAATAAATGGATAAGGTGGGAATTGCATAGACAATCATTGCATTTATAATTTTGTCCAAAAATATTTGTTTTTTTTGGTAATGCTGCAATAATATTCTTAAGTACACGAAAGGTCATGAATTATATTATGGACTAAAATAAACAAAAGACCAAAATCATAAACAATATTCTTAGCCACCCTTCGTTTTAACCTATTTAAACATGAAAAAAATAAAAATCAAAAATCAAACTCTCTTGTAGTTTGTTTCCCTCGTTATGTTAATATTTTTAAAGTGTCACTAATATTGTACACTCGACAAAATTCATCATATTAATCTAGTACACATTACAACAACAATAAAAAATTAGTCTTATTTTCAATTGATTCACATGCCATTCCATGAATCCATTTTCGTTATTCTAATTTATTCATGGCGTGTTCGGTAAAGATTAAAATAGGATTAAAATTGAAAAATTAGTCGTTATTGTTGATTTTTATTAAACGAGTGAGACCCAATAACAATCATATTTTCAATTTTAATTGAATTTTAATCGGAAACAAACAGGCTCTCATTGTTATAGTGATGCCAAGTAAAATACTATCTTTCAAGTGACTTCTGATATTTCCTTTCATTTTACTGTTAGTTAGCTATCCTATCACTGAAAAATAACAATATCATTTAACGTGTTTTCTAAAAACACAAGACCTTATGTTGCTAGAGGAAATATTCGCAACTATTAGATTTGAACTGAAGATGTTTGTTCTTTCAACTATTAGATGGAAGACTAGGAGATCATCAAGGCCGACTTTCGTCCCTATTCCATGGGTGAATTTAATAGTCAAACTCCCTTGTGTCTTTACACTCGGCCGATATTTGTCCAACTCGAAGAAACCTTTGTAATTTGCATGTCTGTGCTACCTTCCAAGAGGGAAAAATTCATGGTTCAGGGANAGATGGCTACTAAACAAAGCAGTTCACTTGGGATGTTTGCTTGGAGGGAGTTGACATCAATGTCTCTCTGGCAATTTGAACTGACCAGTAACTAACTTATAATTTGCCCAGCTTATGACTGGAAGCATTCTGGCAAGCCTGCCTTCTTTCAGAGAAGCCCATTACTTTCAATCGACCTCTTTTGTCCGAATCGAAACTCTCTTATGACACGTTAGTATATAAGATTAGACAAGATTGGACTGTACTATGAATAATATTTTGTCTTACTTTTTTGTTTTTAATACTATACACTTAACCTTATTAGACAAGAAATTATACCAGGAAGATAGTATTCACAAGTTTTTCAACGGAATGCTACTTTACATTTTGTCTTCTTGGATTGTAGTTCAAAAATTACATTTCAAAAAAGACTTCGAGATTGACTTGAACTGGGCACTTTTAATTATTATCACCTAACTGGGCATGGGATTCTAGTAACTTTTTTTTTCTTCTTTGAACCTTTTTTGGGTGGGTTTTTACTTGTCTTGTTGCCTTTAAAATTATTCCCCAATAAATGGATAAGGTGGGAATTACATAGACAATCATTGCATTTATAATTTTGTCCAAAAATATTTGTTTTTTTTGGTAATGCTGCAATAATATTCTTAAGTACACGAAAGGTCATGAATTATATTATGGACTAAAATAAACAAAAAACCAAAATCATAAACAATATTCTTAGCCACCCTTCGTTTTAACCTATTTAAACGTGAAAAAAATAAAAATCAAAAATCAAACTCTCTTGTAGTTTGTTTCCCTCGTTATGTTAATATTTTTAAAGTGTCACTAATATTGTGCGGTCGACAAAATTCATCATATTAATTAAGTACACATTACAACAACAATAAAAAATTAGTCTTATTTTCAATTGATTCACATGCCATTCCGCGAATCCATTTTCGTTATTCTAATTTATTCATGGCGTGTTCGATAGAGATTAAAATTGAAAAATTAGCCGTTATTGTTGACTTTTATTAGACGAGTGAGACTCAATAACATTCATATTTTCAATTGTAATTGAATTTTAATCGGAAACAAACAGGCTCTCATTGTTATAGCAATGCCAAGTAAAATACTATCTTTCAAGTGACTTATGATATGTCCTTTCATTTTACTGTTATTTAGCTATCCTATCAATGAAAAATAGAAATATTATTTAACGTGTTTTCTAAAAACACAAGACCTTATGTTGCTAGAGGAAATATTCACAACAATGAGATTTGAACCGAAGATGTTTGTTCTTTCAACTATTAGATGGAAGACTATGAGATCATTAAGGCCGACTTTCGTCCCTAGGCCAACT